GTGTATTAATAGAGTATATTATATATATTTATTTACCTACTGAGATTGTTTTCAACTGAGCTCTGACTCCAAGGGTAACTTGTTAAGGAACCTCAATTTTATGAACCAAAATTTGGTATGTGTAATCTGCACAGGTTGTTAGTATCTGATCTTAAAGAACCCTCCGTTTTTGGAGCAATTATACAGAATAAAGGCAGTTCTGTAGTGTGCTGCCTGCACCAGTTAACTCATAGCTTTCCAAATATTGGCACCTTGGATGAAAACGTTGTTTCACCCCCTACATCACAGGTTCCCAGGCGGGATGGCATCATGTTTTTCTTCTCTGGAATTTACCTGTTTATGAGCAGAATTTGACAACCTGGGAAGCAGGACCACAGGACACAGCAGGAAGAGAAATACACAGAGCACTGGATTCTAATCCAAACTCTCCCACTAACTTGCAAAATCATTCTAGGGACTTGGTGTTAAAAATACTGAAATGAGATCACAAATGAGAATCTTTAGAAAATTATAAAGTATAATATGTGCATAAAGGAGCTCTTTCATTCCCTTAATAATTGGTTGTGTTTCCTCTGTAAAGTTCCTAAAGGTCATGGTAGGAAGGGCTTTGGCTTAGACATAATAACCCCAAGCAGACAAGGAGCTTTTGTTAGATCACAAGAGAATCGACTATTTACGTTTAAAATAACATTTGTGTAAAACACATTTAAATACTTCTAGAAGCCAATGCCTAGAGTGATGTTTCAAAAATAACTAAATACAACAGATTTTATTATGAAACCTTTTTGAATCCGTAAACAACACAGATTTCCCACTCCTGTTTTCATAGATAGGATGTTTAAGCCATTTCACGCCAAGTCACCCCTTTTCTCCCAAGTGAGCTGAAAATTTTAAGTAAAATAGAATTCAAAGCTCACCAAGAATTGACAGTCTCCGTCCTCCCTCCTCTGCTACACAGGCCCAAATCAAAGATCTGGCTACATTTTCTTGACGTTGATTCCCTAAATGGTCATTTTAATCGACTGAACGTGAAATGATGTCCGTGTCGGTCCCAGCAACACGGGGAACACGAAGAAATGTGCCCTCTCTCTTCTCCCCTCTGCAGCCCGCGGAGGAATGCTCTCCCCAGAGGACTGAGTGGGCGCAAGCAGTACCACCCTGAAGGCCCAGCGCCTCATCCACGCTCCACATTCTTGGCTCTGCAGTAAAAGGCATTATGTGGAGAAGCACAGACCGCTTTTCTTAGGGTAGGAACAAATGAGTTCAGACAAAATGGCTAGCATTTTTCGCATTTTTGAGATGTCACATTTTGCATTACTCTATTTCAGGGAGAAGGGAAACTTTGTAAATTTGTGTGTAAGTTTTCATATTACTCTAACGCCAACAAAAATAGAAAACAATTGAATTCTTATTTCTAAACTCAGGGCTACTAAGAAAATCTGAATTCCACTCCCCCAAAGAGATGTTACATTTCAGTCAAATGGACTCTATGGAAATGTCTCCTGATTTGGCTCCTTGAAATGTCAGAACAGGGAAATTGGGGTTGAATGAATTCTGAATTCAGGGGCTAGACCTTTGGAGCTGTTTGTTTCCTTCCCTTCTGTGTTCCAGGAGCTGGGCTCAGGGTCTCTGATGGCTGCTGTGCCAGGTGCCACTTTAAGAAAGCCACAGAGATGCTATATAAGAGAAAGGAACTAGTAACAGAAAATGAAGAGCCCTGGATGTCCCTCTGCTCTCACCAGCCCTGGACCAGCCCAGCAGCGCTGCTTAGGCTGCTGCCTTCATAGACCTATCACATCATTTTGTGCACATGAACTTCATCACACATGGTTCTGCTACAAAACCGAATTCTATTTCAACCAAGCGTAGGTTGTTCAAAACTGTCTGTGAGTTTATCAATGTACTTCATGCAACCTAAAAGAATATGCCATTTCTCTTTCTCACATTGGCACTTTGAAATTCATCTTCATCTGTCTTAACGTATTCATCTTTAAAAAAAAATCCCATCCACAAACACAGTTTGAATCGATTTATAATTACTGAGGTTTGCCATTGTTCTTAGCCCATTGAAACCAGAAACATGTGGAACTTAAAGGTACGATTTTCTTTGACAATGTTTGTTTTGCTCATTTTCTTTCTGTGTATCAGGAAACCTCAATTATGTATAATAATGATCTGTCCCTTCTGTGAATCAAAGATATATTCCTAATAGGCATGAAAGATGGCCTTTCCTGTGTGTTCTCTGGTTTTTACTTGTTTAATTTCTAAGCATCAAACAACCAATGATCACAGCTTAAGGAAAAATATGGGACAATTTTGATTCAGCAGAAGCAACTTTTCACCCCAAGGAGTAATAATCTACTAGTATAAGGCTACCACACGGATTGTTTTAAAATTGTAGACTCGTAGACTATTAGCAGGAGAAACCTTGGCTAGATTAAGTAATTGAATGTTTTCCTTTAACACACAGGAGACTGAAGTCCACAGAGAGGACATTTTTTTAAAGCCCTTGAAATGAATAAATAAGTGTGATCTAGATGAAATGTGAAAGTACTCTTAAAGGGAGAGCAAAATTCAAAATAGACAATGTAAAAGTTGCCAATACAATACATCTTGGGAATTACGACTGGGATTTTCACCCAAGTCACTGTCTGGCAATGTCTGGAGACATTCCTGGTTATTCTTGGTTGTCATGATGGGTGAAAGGAATGACCGGCATGCGGCAGGTAGAGGCCAGGACAGACTCCACCACAAGAAGTAGCTCCAGCATCGGGAGTGGTGAGGGCAGAAGCCAGATGAAGGCTTACGTGTTTGCTCGCTCCTTAGTGGAGTGGAGTCAAACAGCCACTACAGGCTGTGTCCTGGGGTCAACAAGAATTCATGTGGCCCAGCTCAGGGGAGGGGGCTGAATAACTAAAACGCAGCCTGACCAGGAAATACAAATGGCTACTGAGAAGTGATGCGGAGTGGGGTGGGACAGGTCAGGCAGGAACCCCTGAGGAGAGGGGACACAGAAGTCCAGGGAGATGGGGGAGGGAGGCAGGGCGGGGTAGGGCAAGGCGGGCGAGGAACAGTTAGATGGGGCCTTGGAAGGGAAGGGAGGCCCAGCCACCCCCTGACCCAGGGCTACCAACTACACATGTCCCCAGACAGGCCTTAAGACAGGCAGGTGTCCACAAAGATTTTGGCGGGGTTTCCCAAAACTGAATAGTGCTGCTTGTGGGTGTATCACAGCCCCAGCAAGAAGGAAGGGGAGGAAGAAGACCTAAAGTACCAGAGGAAGATGAAGACAAGAAGAGAAAGGAGAGAAAAGAGGAAAAGTAAAAGGGAGAAGAAAGCATGGGCAGAATGAGGTCACAGACGGTGCCCAGGGACCCTGGGGGCACTGATGTCGCCAGACAAAGGGATCAGTGTTGGCATGAGAACTTTGGAGAGAGAGGCCAATGCTTCCCATCAGTGGGTCTTGCTAGAGGAAAGAAAGTCGTTTTTCCCACCCTCCTCCCCGAGGCAGATCTGATTCCCTAGCTTTCACTCCTCACTACCGGGGTCTTACTTGAAGAATTTCTTGTGCTCCGAGATGAGTGAGAAGCAAAAAAAAGGGCAGGAATCCACCTGTCATATCAAACATGTAAGCGTTACAGGGAGGAGAGGAAAAACCAAATAGGAAGAACGTTTTCAAAGGCTTCATACATAATTTATACAAACTCTTCTGAATTTGTTATAGAGGTAAATAAATTTACTATGTACTGATTTATTTATTTTGGGGGGTAATTTAAGAGACGATATTCTGATTCTCTGGAACCTGGTGCCACTTTTAAATCTTCTTGTGCCTCTGATGCTTTATCTCAGAGGTACCTTCTGAGGTTAGATATCTTTCAATAAACAGCATTCATCAATTTCTGCTTTTGTAAAATGTCTCCAAGTGTTTCTCTAGCTAAGATCGCATTTTCTTCCTTCTCTCCTTCCTTCTGCCTAGTTCTTTACTTCCTAACTCTTTCCTAGTTTTGGGAAACCCAACGACTAAGTTTGCTGAGACCTGCCTCCATGTCTGACTCTCAAAACTGTTGAGTTAAAAGACAAAGAAACAGGAAATGAAATTGGGTAAAATAAAGTGCGTAACCCTCTTGGACAAACACAGGTGGTGTAAGGATCTTTTACCAGCGCCCTCTCCACTTGCTGTATTTTTCCTCAAGCCCTTGGCCCTGGGACCACACTTTGTGCAGTGAGCCCTCTTTGCTGCTCCCTGTGAGTCTGCTTTACTCGGTGACCCAAAGTGTGATTCACATCGGAAAGGCCCACGTTCCAATAAAAAATGATCACTAACAGAATGAGACATAATGAGCTTATGCACCAGCTGCAGAAACGTTTCCTCAAGATGATCCAGTGGGATTTCCTCAGAAACACAGACTTCCTTGGAAAAGAGACCCATGTCTCTTTCTGAGGCCACCAGTCGTGTGAAAGTAGGCCTGCAATGTGCACAGTAGCTCAAGAAATGTATTTCCAATGTTAGCTATAATCTGCTCTTTCCTTAGGAACTTGGCCATGTAGAGTTTCATATGGAGAGAGAGAGAACTTATTTTAAAGACATGTTAAGATGAATTATAAAAAAAACTCAAATCAGTTTTGATATAGTAATTATATTTATCATACAGTTACTTTCTGGAGTTAGCTGTAAGATATGATTGGGGGAAATTAAAATAGTATTTTCAAAATTCAAGCCCATATCTTTCGAAATGACATCATAACCAATTAATTTCTTATCTTACTCTAATGACTGGGAGTGCAAATTAGATCTGATCATATGTTCTGAATCCTAAGAGCTGATTGTTGTTACTCTTGCTTCAGTGTTAAAACCTTGAGAATTTACTGTGCATATATTTTGAATCTTGCTTCTTTTTTCAGTTTCCATGACATCATAAGCGGGAATAGCCTTCATATTAAACGTTCCATGTACTGTCCCTCAAAAAGGTGATGACTACCCATAATGGCATCTTCCTTACCTGGGACTTGCCTTTGCTGTAACAGGCCTTCTTCGTTGCTTCATCACACTCCCACTCCACAGCCTATAGGAAACACCAAAACGACAACAACTGAATAAAAGGACTTTGAATGAGTAAAAGGGAAAAAAATAATAAGGTATCGGTAACCAGATTAGGTAAGGTGGGCACACCACGGCACCAATATTTTCATACTAACATAGAATTTACACCAAAAACATGGAATTCAGTCATGTGGGTTTATACTGAGCTTTCAAATTGAAGCATTTTAAAGGACTCACCCCCTAAGTATTTTCATTTGCGCAGTAATAACGTGCTTTAAAACTAGTCGCTATGAGAGAAGCACACGCCCTGAGTTGGTGACTACTTCACTGATTACAGAAACACTCATTTCAGTAAAACTACGGAAGAGATTCATAGGATGCTGAAAAGAGAAGCCTTGAAACAAAATGATCTAAATTCTCATTTAGAGGTGTATATCTCAGTTTAATGGTCTGTCATTTATCAATATTCACAGATAATGAAGCAAGAGTGATTTTGCATATCCTTACTCCCCAAAGACATATTTAAATGATGAATAGTCAATAAAATAAACAGCTCACGCAAAAGCCCATCTACTACTTCCTCCCAATGCCAATAATTTTTATACAGTTGTTAGCTCTGGCTAAATACTTAGAGCCATGAATTTTAAATTTTTTCCCTCACTTTCCAAATCTAACTCATGCTGATCAGTGTGATATGCATTCTTTCACATCTGATGCTAACCCACAAATGGACCTGTGATGAGTTAAGGTAACATACAGCACCTACTTCACAGGAAGAAATGATACCTGCAAACATTAATGGCCAATATGTTGAGACTGTGAATCATATTTTGAAAAGATTTAAGTATCTGAGATATTTATCTTTTCCATTATTTTATGGAATGTGGACTTTTATAGGGCAAAAATATTTTCTCCATTCCGTCCACCTGTTATTACAATTATGTTCTATCTTACTATTAGAGTTGGATTTCTGAAGAATTCAAGATTTCTGAAGAACCAGTTAAATCATTATCAGAAAAAATCGAAGCGAGGGACAATTTGCTTTTAATTTGGACTATTGTTACACAATAAACTAAACTAAGCCAAAAAATACTAATGTCAAATATTATGAAAGAGAATAATGTCTTCACTCTTACTTCTAAAAAGAAGGTTTTTGTTTTTTGTTTTTTGCTAATTCTCCTAAACTGAGAATAACAAAGTCATATTAACACCATTATCTAATATCTACTGTTCTCCAAAGAATGTTACATAACAGAGATTAAAACATAAAACGCTGCATCTTGCATCTTATCTTACGTGGCAAATATGAATTCATAAGAAAAGTGTTCTAGAGGAACCACTTCAGTGCCTTTCAAACAGAAACAATACTATAACTCTTTTCCCTTGTGCAGACTTAGAGATTTTTGTCTGTGTCAACATCTGATAAGAGAAGTTGTTCATTCTTCCTGTGATGTTTTCCTGTTCATAATGTTTAATGGCAACAATAAGGTTACAGCTAATTAGCATCTAATGCAAACAAATGACTTGAATTCCTTACTAGAATGACAGACACTTTTATGAGAAGTGATGACACCTCCAGAGAAGAGATAAGAACTTCATGTACAGTTGCATAATTATATATCCCCATGAAGCACAGATAAAACAAGCTCACTGCTGTTATTCTAAGTGGAGCTTTCCTTTAGCAGATCTCTGTATAAAAGCTCATTCTGTTGTTTTCATTTAAAAAGAGATATTCATGCCTTCGCCCTTACTTAAACTCAAAACAGAATTGATACACTATGATACATTCTTTAGCAAAGTACACCCCATAATAACTTGGATTTTATATATCATCAAGAGGATTTAGAGTTATATATTACAAGGAGGAATTTGTGCTCTATAATTACTAGGAAAATTATTAAGTGAAATGATTTAGATAATGAGGAATTCCTAGTGGCTCTCACTGGTTTACTGATTTTGTTGAAAGTTAAATAGTAATGCTGCCTTCAGTAAACTTAAGAGCTGCAAGGGGCAGAGTTAGTTCCAGAGTTACAAGAAGAATATTTATCAAATGCCATCAAAATTCTTCAAATCCTTCTGCTGAAATGGCAAACAATCAGCTTCCCAAGTCTGCCTAATGTCCAAGTAACCTTTGCATTTTCAAGATAAACACTGGCCAAGGATTGGAAGGGGATAGTAAGAGAAAAAAATGTGAGAGCTCTCAAAGATATTTCATTGCTTTATCCAGTTTCGCCAGAAAGAGCAACTGCTCACACAAGTTTATTAGGCTAACAGAAAGTAGGAAAAATCTTATAGATTTTTCTGAAGATGGTTATTAAAAGTAGCAAAGTTACTTTCTTGAGGCATTTTTATTACAATATACCAACTTTCCAGTAATGTTCAAATCCAGAATTAATTAAAGACCATGATTGTATAGCTTTTCTGTTGATTCACTTTCTACCTGACTAGAAGGCAGGATAAAGGGAAATTATGTTAAGAATGGAACTGAACTACCTATTGTAGCTGAACACATGTGATTGGATGTCACAGAATTTGAAAAACAATGGAGTAGGAAAATGTGTCTTTTCAAGATTGGCCTAAAACTGGGTGTTCCAGATGAATCACCTACTGTCTGTTCACTCAGCAAACTAGATTTTACCTATTTGACCACTTGGCAGCAATGGAGAAAAACACTTTCTCTAGAGAGAAATATGAATATCAATGGAACTCTCCAGTACCAGATTTCTCAAAGTTACTCAATTACTCTGTTTGAATTAGATTATGTTTTAAACTGGTCACAACTTTTCTTTATTCCACAAGATGTATTCTAATCAATTAAACTTCTTTAATCCAGCCTTCTTGTTCTATTCTCAATGGAGATTCATTGTTATTCTTTCATGCATCATAATTTTGGAACAAATCCCACTGCTGATTTATGAAGCCATCTTTCTGGTTGACTCCTTCTAAGACACTTTTCTACTCACCCAAACCTATGTTTATGACAGTCAAAACAAAGGCTAGGGCTTCCCTGGTGGCGCAGTGGTTGAGAGTCCGCCTGCCGATGCAGGGGACACAGGTTCGTGCCCCGGTCCGGGAAGATCCCACATGCCGCGGAGCGGCTGGGCCCGTGAGCCATGGCCACTGAGCCTGCACCTCCGGAGCCTGTGCTCCGCAGTGGGAGAGGCCACAACAGTGAGAGGCCCGCGTACCGCACACACACACACAAAACCCCAAAAAAACAAAGGCTAAGGGGTTCTACATTCTACATTTCAGATCTCAATGCAACACCCATGATCTTCTATCCTGGGGATTAAATCTTTAATTTTTGTCATCTCTTGTCTTTTTCTATTGCACCAGAGCCTAGTAGAGAAAAGGAACCTTAATTCTCTACTCCATTCTGTATTTACTTTATTATCCCCTTCATTATATTTTTCAACAGCAGACACGTAGCAGTGATAATGTGGTTACTTGGATATCCAAAGGCAATGAGTTTGAAACATCAACGTTTTAAAAGACACAGAGTTTCCTGTTTGTGGCACAGTTTTTTTTTGTCTATAAATAGTTAGAAATAACATCTGTGCTATTCAATAATTTGCAGAGGTGTTGCTTTACGCAAATGCACTCACCATTCTCTCTTTCACTTAATAAATATTCATTAAATACCTACTAAGTGCAAGACACTGATAGATAATGAGTGATAGAAGGAAAAACACACATACAGATAATGTTTGCACACATCAGATATTAGTCTACAATAAAATATAAGTGAATTCCATCAGCCTAGATAACATCATGCTAAATCTGAGAATGCATCTGTGGTCCTTTTCATTGTTACAGTAGCCACGTTCATCTCAGAATCCAGTGGAACACTGGAACTAACAACATCATCAACTTTCAGGAATTGACAGTGCTATGGACAGACCTAAAAGGAAAGTGAGTAGGTTTACAGGAAATCATTTTATACCTGCCGAAACCCTGGGGATGTATGGAAGCACCTACTGTTTCATGACACAGCACACGCCTCCCTGTTGTGTGCACACATTTGCTCAGGTTATGATAAACAGAGCTGGGATCTCAGGAGTAAATCAGATGTGAGAAAGAAAAAGATTGGCTCCTTTTATGATCGAGTTACATACATATAAATCCACAGTTCTCGGAAGTATATAAACAAAGTTGTGTATTACCACATTCTGCAGCGAGAGAAGTTAATTAGACAGGGACCAGCAAAGGCAGATACTGTTCATAAAAGTGAAGAGAACAACATTCTAGGCAGATGGGCCAGTACTCTTGCAGCAGATGGCTTTGCTAATTAGATACTGGCAAAAGATAACATAAAAAAAAAAAAAACTAGTTTAATTACACAGTGCCAAAAATTAACAACCACCTGAGGGCTTTTTTTTTAATATGTTTGCATTCATATTCTTATGGCATGGATTTCTGTGAAATGCTGGAGAATGTTAAATTGTCATGGCGATTATAAACAAATTGCCGGGGAATGTGAGACTGTATGTGTTCAAAAGAGAAGCAGAGTGCAAACGAGTCAGAACTTGAAACAACTGTGATTTTTATGTGACCTGACTCAAGTGTCAATCTAGTTATCCTTGAGCAAAGGCATCTTCTTTGCTAATGGCTTTTAGTGGTCACACATGATGGGTTCAAAACAAGTGGCACTTGGGAATTCCCTGGCGGTCCAGTGGTTAGGACTCCACGCTTCCACTGCTGGGGCCCTGGTTCGATCCCTGGTGGTCGGGGAACTAAGGGCCCGCAAGACATAAAGGGGTAGAGTTGAGTCACTTTGGATGGATTTGTCCAGTTTGCCTCTCTGCCTTTACTCCTTAGCAGATATTTGGTGCATTCGTTCACTTTTCATATCAATTTGCCATAACCCCTGCACTCATGCCCACGGCGAATATAGGCAAGTCCATGTCATTCTTACTGGTGGCCTCCAAATCAGAGAAGTGGAAGGGACTTTCATCATATCTTCTAACTACTGCTTTTGCTTTTTTTTAAACATCTTTACTGGAGTATAATTGCTTTACAATG